CCCTTGCCCTGCTCCTCGCCTCTCAGCCCACGGCTCTGATACCGGCCCTTGTGCTGCTCCTCGCCTCTCAGCCCATGGTTCTGACACTCCCGGCACCGGCCCTTGCCCTGCTCCTCGCCTCTCAGCCCCTGGCTCTGACACCCCTGACCCTTGCACAGCTCCTCGCCTCTCAGTCCCGGTGCTCTGACAGCCCCCGCCCTTGCACAGCTCCTCGCCTCAGTCCCGGTGCCAGCGCCGGGGGCTGAGCAGCCACAGTTCCCAACACAGAGGCACCGTGACAGCATCTGGAATGGAAAACGGGACCTGAAACTTAACTTACCCTGACAGACAACAGAGACAATTAAAATCAGTGATATGATGTGTGTGCACCTATACAGAAATCGTGGAAAGGAAAACTGGCAGTGCTATCCTGCTATCTCTGCTCAAAAGAGGGCTTCTACCAACTTTTTTGGATTGTATCAGTCAAAAAGTAACAAAGACATAGTATTTTGTTATCTTAAGATATTTCTCAGTTCCATGACACGTGCATTCAAAAGATAACAACTTTGGTTTCCTATTACTATGAATGCATTAAGCATAGCATCAAAAGTATTCCTGAAACCATTTTATTTATCCTTTGGCATTGAATCTGATATGACTAGAAACAATTCAAAATTTATTAAAATAATTTTTAAGCCAAATATGATCATCATCGAAGCTCATGCAAGTGTTCATGCCCATGCACTGGAAAAACAGGAATATCATATTATATTTGTCATGATTATTGACAGTAAAACATTTTAGGACATGTTGTAAGAACAATTAAGAGTGGTAAGGAATGGTTGTATTATTAAGTTTCATCATTGGCCCAGTGGACTTAAGACAGCAAGTACACAATCTCTTTCTGGTTTTTGAATGATTATTTATATGGACTTAGCTGTCCTCTATTAAACAATGCCATATAACCACTCACCCAAAAAAGCAATTGATCAGTTGAATGACATAGGAAAGTTTATCATCTGTATGCAACATTGCAGACTTTTTGTAGTTGGAGTACTTTAAGTGCCATTCAGAAAAATGTGTCACCAAAGGAAATTAATTGGAATTAATTTAACTGTCTCATTCTAGGATTGCAGCCTAATAACAAATTTTCCCTGATGTCTTCTTATTCCTATTGCTCAGTGAGGTTAGACAGGAGGTTGAAGGGGACAGGTAATCTATTTTGCAATCAGTATTGACTTCTTGGTCTACAGTTTATCATCAGTTTTATTTCAATGGGAGTAGTGACCAAACAGAAGACACACCTAGGTGTATTACCAGCTCAAGAGACAGTTCATCCTCAGACTACTAAACACAACATAGAGTATTAAGAATCAACTTCTGCAAGCACCAGCTGATAAAGGCTTTGTTACAAACTGCTGTGAGGTGTACATCCCCAGTGCTCACACTACCAGCCATTCACTAATGTTCTTCCTACTTTGTGGAATTTTCACACTTCCTCCGAGGAGAGGAAGCCCCAATACAACCTTTCCTCCCGCACACTCAAGAGCTACACCACCAAGAATCAAAACAGTTCTCTCGCCCATTCTGTGCTGAAGGAACTGTTAGTTTCTTAAAAGTGACACACGACCAACTGCTAACACCAAAAGCAACATTCCCAAAACCAAGACTGGCCAAGAGATTTTGTTCAATGCCTTTAGGCCTTTGAATAACTAGATGTCAGCAGCCCAGAACAAGCAGACACAGAATCAGTCATGGAATGGTTGGCATTGGAAGGGACCTCTGGGGGTTATCTCACCCACCCACCTTGCTCAAGAAGGGCTACCTGAAGCAAGTTGCCCAGGACCATGTCAAGCTGGCTTTTGAATACCTCGAGGATGGAGACTTCATAGCCTTCCTGGGCAACCAGTGAGTGACCACACTCACCATGAAAAAGTGCTTCCTGATCTTCTGACAGTACCTCCTGTGCTCCAGTTTGTGCCTATTTGAGCCCATAGCCTGCTAGAAAGATGGCAGAGAGAAACTACCTGGAACACTATGCAGAGTTGGAACACAAGAAGGCTTTGCTAAATGAAAAGACTTTAAACATGTCTGTGCACAATTACAGGCTTCATACACATAAGGACCAGTTTTCCACCACTCCTTTAGTGGTGCTGTTATGAGCTTTGTGATACAGCTTCTGTGACAAGCTCAAATTGCAACCTTCATGCTCTTCTACCTCTATCAAAAGATTAGCCTCACTCTGCAGTGATGGACATGCATAAAAAAATTACAGTGAAACTTGTGCAAACTGTCATCTGGAAAGGCCCGAGAAGTCTGATTTTCTTTATTGCAGAAGCTTTGGGTAGGAGTCTGAATCTTTGTTATGGGTTGTAGAGGTTTTTTTCTGGTAAAATATCAGTTTAATGTTTTTGAAAAGATTTTACCTTTTTTTGTGGGCATATCATCAAAGCATATTAGTTTAATACTTGCTATCATTCATTTGCTGGAGAAAAATCATTAAATACATGTCACTTCAAAACTCCGTGACTTAATATGGAATTGAAATGACCTTTATTTTGGCACACTAGTGCACTGAGTTAGAGTATTACGAAGTCCCAAGTGTTGCCTGTTTACAAATGCCAGATAGACTACTACTATGGCTCTAATGTGCTCAGAGATTGTGCAGCCAATGAGCACTAACTGTAACTAACTGAAATAGTGAATTAGCTGTGGAGGAAGATTCACAGCTTACCAATGGGAAAAGCCACTACTTCGAGAAAATGGTTTAATTTGTGTTGGAAATTTGACCAACTAGAAGTGAAAATTTTTACCAAGTACTCACTTTTGTTAGATGCTGTTTTGGTGTTTGGCCTCCTGTCTTGCAATCCATAAACTTGTATCTTGGGCCTGGGATACTTCTTCCCTTCCATATGGTTCTCACACCAAGTCTGTAAGAGTGACAGCTGAATGAGTCACAGTCATGCTTAACTTCACACACAAAGGTGTCTAATTCTAAGTCTTAAAAATGCACATGACTGCATCATAAAAAGCCACAGGCTGCAACACAGATCTTCAAAGCACAGCCAGGGAGCGCACAGATGTGTATGTCAACCCTCTGCACCCACTGCGCCATTCTCAGGACTCAGGGTAGTCAAACAAGAGTCAGATTTCCACTCATTTCCTGAGGTTGTTCAACAGCATCTGATGGACGCTGTGGATCACTAAGATTCTGTCCTCTGGACCTTTTAGCACATATTCAGCCATCCCCTCTCACATCAGGGGACTTCTGAAGAGGTGCAGCGCTCCAAGACAAAGACTTGACTGATTCTTATATCTGTTCCAACAAGGAACACCACGGCTAAAGCAGTTGCAGTGTTTCACTGTGTCCAACTGAGGTCCTTCTCCTGAGGGCTAACAACACAAAAGGCATTTTGTAATAGCTCCCTTTGAAATCAAATTAGCGATGTTTCAAGGCGTGACCCATAAAGGGCTGCTGTCCAGAATGGACATGTGTTTGACAGATACATGTTCCACCTAGCAGGACTCTTCAAGAGTACAGATGGAATCAAGATGTGTGAACAGAGCACCAAAAGGGGAGTCATGGGATATCAGGATATACAGCAAAGCTCTCTGCCTCAACAGATAAAAAGGAAACAATATCAGATACAGTGTGAAATAGCTCACTCCAGCTGGTAGGACAGATTCTGACAGAATTATATAGGTATGATTATTGCAGAGAAAGATGCTATTCCATATGTGCGAAAGCTAGCAAAATATAGTCCAAATTAAACTATATAACCTTGTGCCAACTCCTTATAAAAGTCATAAAAAGTCAAAATCTCCTACTTCCATTTGCCCATACACTGCAAAATGCTAAGAGTTATTGTGAGCTGTAGCTCAGAATACCCATGAACACAATTTGGAGAATAGGAGTATCTAGAAAGCAGGCTATTTTTACCTGTCTAGCTGTAAAATTATTGGAAAGTTAGAAAAGAACATGAGCTTTCAAGTTTGCCACAATGTATTTCCTTATGTGACAGAAAACTAACCACCTCCTCATCCTGCGGGTCAATATCTCTGGAGCAGGAATGAAGATGAGAACTCCCGTCCATAGTATACAAAACAGGAAAGCATTTAGTGGTTGGACTTTCCAAACATCCAAAGGTCCCATTTAACTGTAGAGAGAATTAATTTAAAGCACAACAGTGCTTCCTAATGCAGTCCAGCTTCATAATTCATTTTCATATGAATTCACAGACAAGAAAAAAAAAAATCATGCTAGTATATCGAAGACCCCTATAGCAATCAAATTAAAAGAAACATCTGCTGTCAGGAACTCCATCAACTACTCCTTGTTGCCACTGTATTCTGTCTGAAAAGAGGACAAGACAGAGATTAACTATGTGTATTTTACAAGATGAAACAAGGATCTAGAGCAAGACATAGGCTGTGTCAGGACTTCACTATGTGTCAGGACCAGACACTTCTGAATAAACACCCAGGTACTTTAGGTCAGGATTAGGAGCCAAGGCTAAAATATCACAGTGAAAAATGCCGTTGAATGACAACAGCAGACATCACTGATGGCAGAATTTAACTTACATCAGATTCTCAATGGCTCATTTCTTCAATGATCTCCAAGTTCTGCCTCTGCTAACAACAGGAATGGCAACAATTTCAGGAAATGGAACCCATTTCTACCTTCTCACAAAAAGGATAGTGGAGTATGCCATACTCTACATAGCTCAGACATAAGGTTATAGCCAAGATTTGGCTGTATATCTATCTTTTCAGCTGCATTTGATTACTTAAAAATCACTGACTAACACTTGTGATTTTCATATTATTTTTTCAGGAAATTACTTTAGAGACCTGGGAAGTGTCACAGTGATCACATAACTATATGCAATAAACTCACTTACTGATAAACTCACCATCCCTGAGAGAGATACACAATACGAGATTCAAACCTGATATGAAATGCCAACCCAAAAAGGATGGGAATTTAGCTCATTCTCCGTGTTCAGGCAGTTCTCCTTCCTTGGACTGCAGAGACGGTCAGCTGTCAGATTGACTTTCATCATTCCCTCAGGGATAGAGTGAGAAAACAAAACTTCTACCACTAGAATTTAATGGTGAATGACTTTGCATCTGAATCCCAGTGTGGCCACAGCTTTTTCTCTTGGATTATAAACCTAGTTAAAGCTTTGATTAAAGGAGGTAGTAACTGAATGGTAATAGGATCATTCTCATCGGTGACTCTGTATCAGCAGCAGAGTAACATCCTCCTATTGTTTCTGAAGCAGTAAGTATGTTCTCCATGTGGACAATAAATGAACTTGGCCCTGGAAACTGTGCAGTTGGAGTAGTCCATTCAGAAAAATTGTAAAAAAAGTAATGCAATAAAACATAGACTAAAGCCCAAAGGCAATGATCAGTCTGCCCTGTCACCCAGGTTAGTGAACATGAGCCAACACTTAGGCTTTGAGTTCCCCCCTAGAGTGGTACCTTTTCCTTTTCAGTCCATCACAGACATCTTTACAGCTTTGTCTCTCAGCAGTCCCTTCTGAGGCCCCAGGGATCCACACTGGCCCATCATGAATGTTATTTTTCTTGTGTTACTACTGTTAAAAGCCCATAGAAGATATTCAGGAAGGAATTAAGAGTCTGTGTTAGTGTGATTTCTGTCATCCCCATATATCTTGGATTAGGTTAAACATACTCTTTCTCCCCTTCACTATTTCAGCACAGCTTCCCAATGTATATGCTAGAGAAGTAAGCTTGCATTAGTTGTACCTGCACTAGAAAATTGAAAAAGCCAGGGACAGTTCCTTGGGATTACAGCTACTGTCTGCAACATTTCCTATTCACAGAAAATTCATATTTAACCCTCTTTACCTCCAAGACAAGATGGTCAGGAACCTGTTCAGAATGGGTTCTGGGTTGGAGCTCATCCCTGAATGATGTCTATAAATTATTTGAGAAATCTAGTCGGTCCAAGTCTAAAGCCTGCCAGGGACTCTTCTAACACTTAATTGTAGGCAATGTGGTGCTTGTGGATGCTTCCTCACAGTTTTCTTTATTAGTATAGATATCGCTGTAGACAGCAAGAAAAGAAACTCAAAATCATACAGAATCCAGTGACCAGTGTTCTGGTTTTACTGGTTTTTTGTTTTGTTTTCATTTAAACTCCTCATCAAAGCAGCCTTCTACAGACTCGTATCATATTCTACTCATTTACAAAACTATTCAATGCTTCTATGAACACCTTGGTTGGCTGTCAGTAGATTATCAAACTTAGAGCATTATAACAGACACTGAAAATATTGTGGGTACATAAAACACACCCAGAAATGATACAGCCCTTTCAGACTAGAAGAGGGTCTGTCTTTCAGATCTCCATAGAGAAAGAGCTTGAATTGCTCTTAAGGGGGTACCCAATCTGTATCATTCAGCAGATCTAAAACAAACTGAGTCACATTACAGAGCAAGCAAGCATTTACAGGTCTCTACTCTAAAACAGAGCTCCCCATCTCTTGCTGAGTGTGACAGCTCCCACGCGAAGGTCACTGGTTTCTGGGTTATTCAAGCATTCAGTGTTGATGTAGAATCGATCTGTTCCCACTCAGTTATGCAGCTAGGACACATCACCCCTCAGTTTCACTGTACATTCTCAAGCACAGACAGACACAAGGACAGTAGTTTTAAATCCTTACAGAACAGAAAAGTTTTTCCTAGCTCAGAGACAAAAATCCCTATCTCTCCCTGGCATCATTACTTAGTAGCAATAACTCCAAGGTGCTGAGACCACATTTAGCTTTATGGAATAAAACATAACAAGCTGTCAAAATGTGCATAAATAAATTAGAGTCATTATTCCAGCTTAAGGTTCTGGGGACATAAACAATCCTCTTGAAGTTTGCTGTGACATTTTTTGCAGCAGGAGCCAAGCATTAAAATTACGTCCTGTATACAGAGAGCTGTAAATGCATTCTGTCTCAGGGCCTGGCACTGCAGCACAGAAATCAACAGGCCTGCCTTGGAATAGAAAATACAGCAGTTCAGGGCCAATTCCCTGCCCCATGAGCACAAGTTTTATGGCACAGCCCATGTCCATATGGCTAAACTCTGTCCTTCTGCTCAGTCCCCAAAGAGGAGCTCTCATCCATATCTGCCTGCTTGGAAGAGTCCCTGGCTCTCACTGCTGCCCTGACCCATCTCCGGGCCCAGCTGCACAGAGTGCTGGCTGGCACAGACAGAACCATGCCCTGGAGCGTGCTAACACCCAAACTCCACAGGTCACCAATGCCACTGCTCCTGGCCCTGCCCAATGCACTACTACAGACACAGTCTGGGACTTCTGCTAGGATATTACCCTAAATGTTTACCCTTTTGTAAGTGATTTCCAGTTCTATAATAAGAAATGCAGAAAGTGAGATCCAAAAAAGACATGAGGAATGAAGACATACACTCATTTTGTGTGTATAGGGATTTAAAGGAGCTGTACCAGGTGAAAGCACATATCTATCACGCCTGCAGCACTAACCAATTACACAGACTCAGGAAACAGTGTGGTATCAAGGTAAGCACACAGTGATACCTCCCCAGCACAGTCTTCTGCAGCCCTTTGTGACTCAGAGACTTCCTGAACAAAAAGTGGTACCCTGGTATTTAAAAGCTTTCTGAGGATTCTTCTCAAAGAAAATGAACTCTGGAATTAAATGCTGTATATAATTAAAAATCCAGTGAAAATAGGCTTCAGCAATTTGAATTATAAACAAGGAGAAAACCCATTCATTCTGAAAACACACTTTACATCAAAAGAACATCAAAACAAGGATGAACAAGAGTAGTGTCATTACAAGAAAGTATCAAGCTGAAAGCTACAATCTCTAAGAGTAAAATGGCACTGACATTATGACTGAAGGCTTTTGCTTGGGCTCAGTGC